ACTTAATTTTTAAATCGTGGAAAAACTTATATGCCCAAAATCTGTACATACAAGGATTTTTAAAATTTAAAGCTTTTTCTATGTCCTTATAATTTTGGAACCAACTTTAAATTTAGTTTAAAAATTTATATACATACATTTTCATTTTATACTATTGTAACATCAAATATTTCCTTTTAGGCCTAATGATGGCCCTTGGACCGAAACCAGTAGCCAATTAATTATTAAATAAATAATTTGTAGTACAGATTTTGTGTTTTTATTCATATAAATTGCAGCCTTAGTCTGTAGAGTCAAAACTAATTGCTTTTTTTAAATCTCTTTTCACAGCGAGATGTGGGTATATCAGAAAAGCCAACAATTTAAAAATAATTTCATTTATACAGAGTTCTCCAGAAAAATGATACATATCAAAGTTAGATTTTTAAAATGGGACACTGTATTTGTGTATTTTATTTTATATTTGAATTGCCCTCGCTTTTCCCTTTACAACAATACCAAATACAGAGTCTTCAACAATATACCCGCATCCCACGTGACCAAATTGATGCGTTGGCAAAAAGTAACATTAAAAACATCAGTAGTAACTCTAAAACAATGTCACTGACGTATTTGATAGTAGTCATACCTAAGTTATAATAAAATTCACTAAGAACGATCATTACCATTAAATTTCTTGTTTTACCAGATCACGTGGGATACGGGTATTGTTGAAGACCCGACCCGCTAGTATGGGATTACACAGGGTATATCACACGCTATAACCAGTTTTATATGAAAATCATCGTATTGATTTCAATAACCTATACGCTGCAGAAGAAGCCATTGAAATCCAATGTTTTTCGATGTTAGTCAACATTTCGACCCACTATTTTTTTCAATTCATAACAAATATGTACAGGGTGAGTCAAAACTCAAATACATCATTTTCTCATTATTATTATTTTTTAATTGACCATCCTGTATTTGATATATCCATTGAAAAGTACCCTAATTATGCTTTCATTTGAGTCAAACATTCACTAATACCTAAAATTAATAATGTTGATAGATTTTTACATTTAAATTAAAAAAAAAATCAGAAAATGTCTTAATTTTAACTGGTAACTGAGTTTAATTTTAATAGGAAAATAGAAATTTGAATTGTACCAGCTGTAATTTATTATCGACTGAATAAGTTTCTGATAATACCTAACGGAATTTTTTATATTCAGTAAAAAAGGAATAAAAATGCAACCAAAATCTTCACAAATTATTATGTGTTATTTTGGCAGATTTTAGAGAAAAACTAAGTGCATCGGCTAGAGGTCGAACCTTGAACTACCGAGTTGAGCCATCGGCACTTTTGCCAAATGGACCACCGAGACACATAGCTACGATAGTCGAAATTATAAATTTGAAGTCATCAAATTCCAACCTTCCCCGCCCTTCCAGTTCTCACAATTCTCCTTGCAACATAGTATAGAAGGACGCTAACCCAGCTTGTACATTCTAAGATTCTTCATTCGTTTGCCAGTTTTCTTGTAGGTGAAATGGCATTGTCTCTGTGGTGGTCCAATTGATAGAGGCGCAGAAGACTCAACTCAGAGGTATTTTGTTTTTGGGATCTAAACAGATTTTCTCAACTTTCTTTGCGCTAAAAAGTTTCTCTAAGTAGTCTCCAATAATATTTTTGGTGGCCTAAATATGGTTTTCAAGGATCCAACCAGTGGCGTGCCTGACAGGCCCGCAGGGTACCGGGCTATTTGGTAGTCCCCAAATTAAATAAGGTATACTCATGTCAGTTAAAAAAATTAACAGATATCGCAATTTATGCAACAATCGGATGCTCTGGAAATAATAATAATAATTTAACGGACTAGTTGATCAGTATTTATTAGTCGATACAAAAACGAAGTTTACCAGCAAAGCAAATGGTAGCTTCTCTTTTTTTCTATTATTTCTTAGTTTTGGTTAAGCTTGAACCAGAATATGGTTATTATTTTTGATATTTGGTTAATTTTTGTTTTGTTTACTAATTTATTGTCTATTGATCTCAAAATGTATATCAATAAATTCTTATTTTTTTTTTAATTTTCATCTAGGTAATTTGTTTGTTTTTATGTTCCTTTTTTTTTAGTTTTTTAGTTTTAAGTCTTGCATCTGCCCCCCCCCCTCCCAAGAAACTCAGCAGGTCTATGGGTTCATCTCACATTTCTAAGCATTTCATACGTAACACTTGAAATTCTTCGCCTCTCTTATTTATTACGACTAAAGGTGACTTTTTTTAACCAAATATTGCAACAATAATGAATTTAGTAATAAGGAACTGTCAATATTAGGTTTCAAAGTCAATTTAAAAATCTGATGTGTCGATGACTTTCCTATCTAGTCATTACAGTCTTTTAGAAGTAACTTTTATTTGAAGAATTTTCTTCTCCAAACGTAAATAACAGATATATGCCATAATATATAAAAACGATCCCCTGTAAAGTCCCCCCCAAATGTTCCGACTCCGCGAAAAATCTATTCAGTTCACTGCAGGCCAGAATAAAAGTTAAATTTAAAATTTGGTATTTTTCTCTTTGTCAGTTTTTGAGTTTTCTTCAAAATTCAAAATTTACACATTTTGTTAAATATCTTGAATACGGTCCATTTTAGAAAAATTAGGTATAAAACAAGAATTATAGAAAATAATATAACAAACAACTTTTATTTGAACAATTTTCTCCTCCAAACGTAAATAATGGATATATGCCATAAAATATAAATACGATCCTCTAATAAAGTACCCCCCCCCCAGATGTTCTGCCTGCCCAAAATCTAATAAATTCACCTCAGGCCGAAATAAAGCTTAAATTTAAAATTTAATGTTTTTCTCTTTATTCGTTTTTGAGTTTTCTTCAAAATTAGAGATTTACACATTTTCTCAAATATCTCGAATACGATCTACTTTAGAGAAATTATGTATAGGACAAAATTATAGAGAATTATATTAAAAACAACTTTTATTTAAACAATTTTCAAAACAATTTAAATTTTTTACATTTTGTCAAATTTCTCGAATACGAACCATTTTTGGAAAATTTTGTATAAGGCAAAAATGATAGAGAATAATATTAGAAGTAACTTTTATTTGAAAAATTATCTTCTCAAAATGTAAATAGCAGATATATTTCATAAAATATAAAAATTACCCTTTATAAAGTGCCCCCTAGATGTTCCGACTCTGCCCAAAATCTAAACAGTTCACCGCAGGCCAGAACAAAACTTAAGTATAAAATTTGGTGTTTTTATTTGTATCCGTTCATGAGTTATCGTGGATACACACACACATCATCGCGAAAATAGTCAAAACGGATTCAGGGGACCCCAAAATGTAAAAATCCGATGAAAAATCGAGGTCGAAAAAAATCATGATTCCTATACTTTCCTTATCTGTATACAGACAGGAAAGTAAAAATATAATAAACTTTAAAATCTTCCAAAATTATTAACTTTTAGGCATAGGGAATGCCTGACTTAAATGAATGTATAAATAGTATACTTTTGCATTGTTGGTATAAAATACATGGTGGTAAAAAAAAAAAGAGAAAATGAACTTTTTTCAATACTCATATTTATTATAAAATATTATTCAGTTTTGTGTTTTTAATAAATACTAAGTTTTTAAATTGTCACCCTGTAATTTTTTTAAATGCATTTTTTGCAATAATTACCAGCCTTTGCTTTTGATTTTTTTTAATATTATAATCCGTTTATACTTATGATTTTATTAACACTTTATTTTAAGAATCACTCAAAAATTATTGTGCAACCTCATTCTCAATAATATTATCTCATTCTCAGTATAAGTATTGACATATCTATTATTCTGTGTTTTTTTTTTTTTGTAGAAAATTAATATCTATAAGTTGTACTTATATCATATTATATAGGGTTTATCAAAAGTCTAACTGCGGCACTAGGTATACGATTATTAAACAAAATACCTATAAACTCCCTTTTTGAATTATACGAGTATTTCAATCAATGTAGCCTAATCATATACTGCGTTTAACAAATTAAATAAAAAATGTATTATGGAAGTAATAACGTAATTGACTTAAATAAAATACGTAGGTATTATTAAAGAATCATCACTAATTATAATCAGTAATAAATCAGTATAATAATTAATTACCGCGTATGCGATTTTGATAAAAAAATACGTTAAAGGTTTACTTACAAAAATACCTAGGTACCGAAAAATATTATTATACTTAGATATACCTATTGTTTACGGTTTCTGACTACCTAAATCATATTCAAAAAAATATAAGGTAAGATTGTTATTATTTGCTTTTATTTTTATGCAAATATTCATGTACTTATATATTAATTTGATTAATAACCCATATAGGTAGGTACCTCTAGCTTTTGAATAAAATAATTATTTTTATAAAAAACATTGAAAGTAGGTGTCGTAGAATTAAAAAGTATTAATTACCACTTATTCAGATAGGTACACATATAGAAGTCTCTGTCTACAAATACCCTCTATATTTACCTTATTAATATTCTTATATTGAATCATGCTCTTGTATTTCTGAGTCATCGCGGACTTGTTAGGAAATGAACACATACCTATATAGGTATATTTATATCAAATTCAAATTCGTACCTTTTGTTGCAGAAAATAAAAACGAGTTTGAAATTATTCAGATGCACATTTGGATCGTCATTAATTTTACAAAATAAATATAGATAGGTAATTCCCGTTAAATCGCGGTAAAAACAACTTGTTTTTAATGTTTTAACTAGGTATTTGAATAACAACAAATTCTTAAAATACCTAGGTACTATAAAATATTGGTACCTATAGGTACCTATCAATACCGAATACCGGAAGTAAAGTAGGCATAGAAAAAATACTATATAAATAATTTTAAAGAAATGTTTTCAGAATAATTATAAATCCAATTTCTAGGTAAAAATAAAATGCAATTAATGTTTTTAATAAAAATGCACTTCAGACTTACCTCATATTTATTATTTCTGTAACAAAACCAGTTGTGTACAGCGAACTCAAAACTAAACACAAAGACCTGTATATAACAGTACACTTAGGTACCTATGTAAATATAAGTCATCTTTGTACTGCTGTCTTGGTCTTCGCCAGCCACAGACTCAACTGACTCAAGGTAAACTACTTCTTCAGTTCTTGAAACTTCTGTATCGACTACTTTTCCGCAATTACGTAATGCTTTAGTTAAAAATAAAATCAGACTTGACTTACCCCTATTTTTACCGGGTCTAATGTTTGCAATAAATAATAATACATCTATCAGCGCAAATCACCGTACAATGTACCCTATAATTTTCTGGTTACTTTGTATCTACAAAATTACTTTTACTTTCAAATTCATCCAGGTGTCTGTACCTGGCCACTGATCTTTATTCTTAACTTTTCTTTGTTAAATCCAGCGGTTGTTTCAAAATGTTGCTATAGTATCGATACTTACATACATATTAAAAAAAAGAACTTAAATTAATTGGACACATAAAATTGGTATAATAAATAATAATGCGTACATTATCTGAGAAAAGTAAATAAAAAGAGAAGTAATAAAATAATATTTAATCCTTTTTATTGTGTTTCGATATCCTTGTTATCTTTTCATATAATAACGTTAGCGTACATTCGGTAATGTACTATCTATTAATGTCCAGGGTACTTTAGTATTTTTAATTTACCAGGTATTAATTTAAATATCTATATTTGCGCGCCACTTGTAAAATCCTCTTTGCTGTGGCCAATCACAGTACTACAACTGTACCGTTTATCAAACGGAACAGCCTTCACGTCGTAAAAGATAAGGAGATGTGCCGAGTTGCCAGATTGTACTGAATTTATCACTATATCAGATTTTAACCGGAAATTCGTTGAAATACACTAAAGAATATAGAATTCTGGTTTTTAAATGATGGAAATTTAAGAAGAGTATTTTTTACTACAAAATGTACAATTTTAGTTTTTTTTTTAGAAAAAGACAAACATTTTGTCAAAAAGTACTTTCAAACAATACAAATAGTATTGTACTAATAAAAGCTGTTAAATGTAAAAAAATATACGGGGTGTTTTTTAATAATAACAATACGTAATTACGTTTAATTTGTTTATTACAATTATTATTTATTATTTTATAAGTATAACTTGTATCTTTTGTATTTTTGCCCACCCTTAGCAAGGGAAATCCGGAAATTGAAAAAAATGAGACGTTTCATTAAAAAATAAAAAAAAAATAAGGTGATGACATCATCAAACGAAGGTAGTTCACTATAGGTCTTTTCCTTTGCATCGAAAGTGTAGCACTGAGCTACACCACTTCTGAAAATATCGTTCCGTTCATACAAATTGTATCATCTTAGGAGGATGCACAATGGACCTAATGAGGCCTAAGTGTCATGGGGTAACCCACCCTCCACACGTTACAGATACAGATAGTAAATTCAAATAAAAAATAGACCTGTTTCGATAATTTTAATAGTACTGTTTACTTAGCTCATAATAAATGTATGCGTTACTTTATATGAAAAGGATCTATCAGCAGTTGAGACTCATATAAAATATACCTGAAACCAGGTAAAAGATCACATTTTGACAAATACAATTATTTTTTCAAAGTATCAGTAAATGTCATCGACCACCTACCTACGAGAAAAAAATCATTTAAAAAGAAAATTTTTCATAAAAAAATATATTCTTTAGTGACAAATAAAATTTTGTATTTACACCACGCCAATGGCCATATTATATGACTAGATCCGGTTGTATCCTGTCGCCCTCCCGGCGGTTAATATTTTTTATCGCCCACCGTCAATAAAACCATGCATTACCATAGCGATTTGCGCAAATAAACATTCTAAAAATCAAAACTTTTATCTACCGCTAATATTTATCAACATAGCCATGACCAGTCTGACAGAAATAATTCGTTACTGATTTGTTTTGTATTCGCTGTTATTTTTCTGTTTGTTTACTTTGTCATAATAAAATGTGATGTAATATAGTATCTCCTTCTTTATTCGTTAAACAATCACTTTGCTGACTTGGTACATAAATAACTATTATATATAAATCTCTTAGTGCATAAATAGGTATATTTATGTCTGCAACAAGTTATGTAACACGGCATTTCGTATCATGTTACATGCAATATATTTTTTTATTTTGACTAGATTATTTATAAAATTGTCTTTTGGTAAAACATATTACTGACATTTAGGCAACCAATATTATTTTCTTGTATTTGACTAACAAATAGAACATAATTATTAATTATTTATTCTCGACGACTTCAGTATGTTTATATTGCTTATTAAATTTAGTTTTCAAAAAAATGGGTTATTTTGTGGTGTATTTTGTGTTTTTAATTATTTTGTGCTGATTTGAACTGGAAAATAAAAGGACCAAAACAACATTATTACTAGATTGTAAGTTTAATCAAATTCTATTTTTATAAATCAGCCTGCCTTTCTTCGATATAAACTTTCCATAATAATGTATATTATTCATTTTAAAACCAAAAAAAGGTATATTTATATTTATTTTCTTTTTAAATATAAAGGAATTGTTACAGAATAGACCCCTCTGTATCTCGTTAATTAAACCCTTTAAGGGTTTATGTTCCTAATCAAAATTCATCAATTATCGAGAGCTCTCTAGAATAGAGCGTTGTCAATCGAATATAGTGACACCCTGTATAACCCATTTAAATAAGTGTACAATTAAAAATTGTTTCCCGATGCCCTTTTGGATTGAATTGTTTTTCAGATTTGCTATAATTTTCTGTACGCAAATAGGCAACGTCGCTTAATGTAGCCGAGTAAGAACGAGCCAACGTAAGCCACGTTTTGGATTCTCCATCCATTCTGACCAATCAGAGTATTCCATCTGTCGTGTAGATTGAGTTGTAACGACATACCCAATAGTTTTTCGAATCAATGTAACTTGTATAAAAGAAAGACAGAGCTACATTGAGTTTGTCTGTGATATTAGCGTAAATCGGAAAGTATACACACCTCGGGTTGTTTTTTGGCATTTTCAGAAATAAGTTGTCGAGCTTTTGACGTGTCGGAGAAGATCGTCCTAACAAATTTAAAATAATGAAGTCTTTTGCGTTTCTTGTGATTTTTGCGTACTTTTACGCAGTTCAAGCTAGTGTATATTTAGAAGAAAAATTCAGTGATGGTAAGTTTTATTAAAGCACTCATTTTTAATTATAATAATTGCATGCACCGGTTCTTTGCCGTTCTAGAAAGGCAAGGAAGTGTCGCAAGAAATTTACTCAATATTTGTTGGTTTTCCTTTTTCGTTTAAAAGTTAGCTACATTTAGTTAGAAAACGAATTTTTATTCAAATATTTAGTTTTTACTTCCTGCGGAGCTCAAACAGCTCTGCTGCTATCGGTCATTCACTGTCAAATCTGTTCCTGATTCCCCTTGAAATTATACGTTGGTACATTTTATTTGCAAAACGTCCTTAAATTTGTTATTAATATCATTAATAAACTTGTATTTATAGAAAAAATAGAAGTAAAATTTATTAGAATTAATATTGCTTAATTTCAGAAGTAAGTTGACAGGCTATAATTTATGTTAAAACGATCCAATGAATTTTGATTATAAAAAGGGGGCCTTTTGATTTTAACTTCCTATTAAGAACGACAATCCTATAACGATAAATTCTTGTTAATTTTTATATCTGCAAGTGCTGTACCTAGGTATTTAAAATAAATTACATTAAAATTGTTCACTAATTACTTATTAAATGTATGAATTAATAAGCGATAATAGCCAAAACATTACTTATTTCATCATTATGTAAGAATGCAAATAAAAATTATTTAATTTCAGATTCATGGGAGAAAAACTGGATTTACAGCAAACACCCTGGAAAGGAATTTGGAAAATTTGTTAGGACTGCTGGTAAATTCTTCAATGATGAAGCAGAAGACAAAGGTAACTATTTGTAGTATAATTTAATTCAGAATAATTTACCTACATATTATATATTTAAATGATTGTTGGAAAATATGGAGAATGTTGCAACAGTGATAATATTTATGATTTAATTTGTGAATCACAATCACCTACCTATAAGGTATTAAAATTTATGCCATTTAATGAAAATTCTGGTTAAAAAATATTACTAATTCATCACTTAAAGTTAAAGATAAATTTTATAAATTGGAAATTCCAATGCTACAATAAAGTTATTCTTTACAATAAAACAACAGTTGGGTAAACCATTACTGAAGTACTGGTACGTTTTCACACAAACTGACTATGGTTACATTTGACTTAAAAGACACACAAATTTCAAAATATTTTTTGTACTATTAGAAAGTAGAGAAGTTATTTATCATGAAAATTTAAAAAAAAATGGAGATTATCCAGGATTAAGCGAGAAATATCATGTTAAAATCTCAAAAATTGCACATTTTTAATCAAATATTTTGACATATGTGTACAGGGTTGCCAAGTATTTTAATATGTAACAAGATATAACTAATTTGTAATCTCGTGAATTATTATACTTTTATGATTTGTTTATTTAAATAAAAATAATAAAATTTTGTGATAAAATACCAGAATCTGTATCTGACATCGCTCATCGACCCCTAACACAGATCAAAGAATAATATGTCCATATCAGCTCATACAATTGTTTAAATTGTTTATAAAATTAAACAGTAATCCTTTGTAAGTTTTTATGGCTACAGTCAATATTAGGTCCAGTAATTTTGTGACTTTTTCCATAAAGATTAAGTAAAATATTTTTACACTTTTTAATCTTCTATTAGTGTGCACTAACCTAATTAAAGTAACAAATATTATTAAAACACATTTGTAAGCTAAAAAATTAAGAATATGCATTTGTTCACTACATTCTTACATAGCCATATTGTTTTTAATTTTTTTGATTTGACAGTCACACTAAGAGCGCCTGTGCGTGATTTTAGCGATGTTGCCAATTGCTTTTTGTTATTTGTTATAAATAAATATATTCATGGTAATACCATTCTATATTATTTTTTATGAATAATATGACAACTGATATTTTTATTTCTATAAATGTGGAGTTGTCAAACATAGTAAAAAATGTACATAACAGGAATGACAGTGGCTGTTTTTTCAATAGCTCCAAGCCAAATGATAAAACCAGAATATAAATGTGTTTATATGAGACTTTTCATTTCAATTATTCAATTTGAACTGTGTCCAGGCCGTTGGGGTCTATGCCGGTCGGCGTAGCCAGGTATGGGTTGATGTTTTTTTTGGTGGCGGCGAAGCCGCCACTCTACGACTTATCGTAGGTAAAAAGTATTTAATTATAATATAATTGATTTATACTTTTTTTTTTTCGTATTTCCAAACGTAAGCATGACTACAAATCATCACCAAAATCACTTTAAAATTAATTCATCTCTAAAAAACTCAAATTATGTAAATGTAGCAGTTTGTGGATCAAAAGACAAGGGAAAAATAAAGGTGGATTTTCATCAAAATCACATTTTTGAGGTGATTTCCGAAATAGAAGTACATTTTGACCTTAGTGGAATCCCCCTTGAAAACAACATTGTTATTTTTAAGTATATAGAAAGTTGGTTAAAAGTTAAAATAAACAAAAGTTGCACAGTTTTTTGCTCAATAAAATGGTGCCAAGAAACCTTTGATATCTAAAGGGAGATTCAAAATATTGGACAAAAAATTAATGCATCTAAAGAAATGACAATTTTATATTTATTTGGCACCATTGTAATGAGCACAAAACTGCTCAACTTTTGTCTAATTTAACCAATAACTTTCTATCTGTTACCATTTAAGAAATGGCAATACTGAAATAGTAATAACCCCCTTATACAAGGGAGAATTTTGTTATACCCTGCCTAACTTTGAAAATAGACATACTTAACAATATTTATTGTCAAGTTACTAAAAGATCTAGTTTGTTGAGTGATAACGACATTTTTTTCTAATAAGAAATAAATGGGTTCTGCAAAAACTCACGAGAAAATTAGAAGAAGTTTATTTATTACTTATCAGATAGATCACATCACACTAGAGTTGTTTCATTGAGTTCACAAATATTTTTCTCCATCAGAAAATACTATAACTTGCAATCAAACAAGGATTTTGGGATAAGAAACTAATGAGAATTTTATAATTATGGCAGTATTTTAAAAAATACAACTACAATGTTTGGGGACAGTATTAATTTTATTTACATAATTAAAGCATTATTCTGGACTAATAATTCTTTAGGTATTCACATCTGCTGTATGGCCAAGATTAGAAGTTTTCAAAATTAACTAGAAAAAGATTTTCTCAGATAACTGAACTGAAAAAATAAAGACAATGGCACTAAACCTACAATTAGAATTTTGAACATCTGCCAAGACATTTTTTCTAAGAAAATGCTAAAATAAGTGTATGAATTTTTATAGATTGTAAGTTAATTCACTCAGTATTGTATAGATAAATAGTCTTACTTGGTAATTACTTAATATTTTTTGTATAAAATTAAGCTATATAAGAACAAATTCTAAGAGTATCAGTAAAAAAATAAGATTTAAAAAGTTTAAACAGTTTAAAAATAAGTTAATATAAATATATTGATTTAATAGCATTTTACCATTATTTTGTAAAACATTCACAAGCTGTAGATCTTGAAAAGGTTAGAAAATTAACAAAAGATTGTATAGTCTATCATCTGTGATAAATTATAAATTTGTGGTGATAATAATGTACAATGTTTTTACTTTTTATAAATAGCTAAAATTCAAATTAATCTTTTAACTTTTTTAGGTAATAAGACTTCATTTAAAATAAAAACAAAATTTTACTACTTACCAAACTCATTTTTCATAGGTTCCATTTAATTTTTGTATTTTGAAAGGGCATTAAAAACAATCCAGAATACAAGAAACAATTAAAATTTTGAAAATTTCTTCTTGCATAAAATAAACTCTTCAATCATCAACATTTAATAAAAATCCACTTTGATAGTTCATGCTTATTTTCTGACAAAACAAAATGATAAAATACCTAAAAAAATGTTAACAAGAGAAATAAATATTAAAAAGAAAAGGAAATAAAAATATTTTCTGCTAAGAAATTACAGAGTACTAAAATAATTATTTTTAGTTTTTCCGTCTTAAAAATTTACATTTGAAATGTAATTCTTCCAGGTATTCAAACGTCCGAAGATGCTCGTTTCTACGCTTTGAGCAGAAAGTTCAAGCCTTTTGGTACTGAAGGTAAAGACCTAGTTATTCAATTCACAGTCAAACATGAACAAAGCATCGATTGCGGTGGTGGTTACGTTAAAGTATTCGATTGTTCATTGAAACCAGAAGAGATGCATGGAGATTCTCCATACAGGGTTATGTTTGGTCCCGACATTTGTGGACCCGGTACTAAGAAGGTTCATGTTATTCTTAACTACAAGGATAAGAATGTACTAATCAACAAAGATATCAGATGTAAGGTAAGAAATCTGTTGAATCATATTTGTAAACAAAGTGCAGTTGCTAAATTGACTTATTTAATAAAATTAAATTTTGTATCTGGTAAGTCAGAGTGAATTAGGTAGTAATAAGTGGCTTTAATATTTTTTGTATTGAAAATATATAAATATAAGAAAAGAGAATGAATATTAATGTTTAATCATTCAAAAATGTTTACTTAGTAATAAAAATAAAAATTAAACATTCCATTCAGTTAGTCACATTAATAGTTTTATTTATTTATATGTTAATTCATTTTATCTTATTGGTTAGAAAAAAAATACTTTAACATCAAAACAAAATTACTATGGTTGGCAGATCAAAAAATTTAAAAAATAAGAGATGTAAAATGTATCATTAAGTAGTTACATGTAGTTATTAGAAATATATAATTAGTAGAGTAATTTATTTTTTCCAGGATGATGTTTACACTCATGCCTACACTCTCATCATTAAACCAGATAACACTTATGAAGTGCAAATTGATGGTGAAAAAGTAGAAAGTGGAGAATTAGAAGCTGATTGGGATCTCCTTCCTCCTAAGAAAATCAAGGACCCAGAAGCCTCTAAACCAGAAGACTGGGATGACAGGTAGGTTTTAGTTAATCTTAATGTGAATTAGATACCCCAATGTAAATAATAAAAAGTATATAAACACAATCATATCAAAACATTTCCTGTTGATTTTATTAATAGTTTCCAAGAATTTGAAAAAATACATTGCTCATCAAAATTGAATGTGATTCTGATATAGTTCACATTTAAAATTACTAATGAGCTATTTAAGTGATGACAGTGTATATTTACTTACATTTTAGAAAAAGATTAGAAATGCATTTGTACCTAGTACAAGTGTGATAGTTTGAAATGGCACAGTAGTCCTCTATCTATAAATATGATGGTGCAATAATGAGCAAGGTCCAAATCTTTTATCTCCTTTTTTTTTCACTGCTTCTCTATTAGTCTTCCTTCCATGGTCTTCTTGTCCTTCATCTTTGATGTGGGATTTATCTTTTGACCACATTATCTTCTGTGATTCATTACAAATGTCTGTTCCACCTTATGCTGTCTACTTTAGTGATTTCTATAACATATTACCTACAACATAAATTAAAAAATACATTTGCAACAATTGTTCCTGTAACTCATTACTTTAGAGTTACTTTACTGCAAAGTAAGGCATTAGATAATCTTTGATGTCAATTTCTTGAAAAAGAAACTATTCCTTTCTTTAAAAGTACATTTTTACTGTTTTGCTTTAATTGATTCAATTATTTAACATAAAATTAATACTCTTTACCAAACAAGACAACCTTGAAAATAAAGAATGCCCTAACCTAACTACAATAAACAACACATATTTAAATTATGATTCTAAAGTAAAAAATAAGGCCTTAGTAATGTGTTACTTTTGTATTAAAGTTTTAGTTTTGTTACTCTCATGTCTGGCTACTAAAAAATATGTATTCATTAAAATTTCAGAGCCACCATTCCAGACCCAGATGACACTAAACCAGAAGACTGGGACAAGCCAGAACATATCCCTGACCCAGATGCAAGCAAACCTGAGGACTGGGACGACGAAATGGACGGCGAATGGGAACCACCAATGATTGATAACCCAGAATACAAAGGAGAATGGAAACCAAAACAAATTGATAACCCAGCTTACAAAGGTAATAAAATTAATTAAAATAATAATGTTTACAGTTAGTTTTTTTTTTAATTTAAACATTTATTCTATCTATATTTAATTTCAAGGTGCTTGGGTCCATCCTGAAATCGACAACCCAGAATACACCTCAGACCCCAACCTCTACAAACAAAAAGAAATCTGTGGACTTGGTTTCGATTTGTGGCAAGTCAAATCTGGCACAATCTTTGATAATGTCCTCATCACTGATGATGTAGAATACGCTAAGAAAGCATTGTCTGGTTTGAAAGACAAACAAGAAGGTGAAAAGAAAGCCAAAGAAGAATTAGATAAGGTTGAAAAAGAAGCAGCCACCAGTGATGATGACAAAAAAGAAGATGATGATGATGAAGATGATGATGAGGATTCAAATAATGTGCCAGCAGTAGAAGAAGTAAGTATAAAATATTTATTGATTAGGCAACTTGGTATATTATATTTTTTATTTTTCTATAAAATTAACATATTTTTTTGTTTCAGGAAACGGATCACGATGAATTATAAAAAAAGAAAAAGAAGTGAGCTAAAAGACTTTTTTTATATATTAAAAGTGTGCAGTGTTTTGTTCGATAGTGTGTACTGTTTCTTGACTGATTTTTGTTAATTTTTGAACGTATTACTTCTAATAAAACACAAAATCCGAAGAGTTGTTTTCATATTTCACAATTTTATTTGTACAAAATTTCAATAAATTATTATATTTTGTAAATAATATTATTTCTTTTATTTCGTTGTCAAGATCTTGCATGATTTTTTTTTAAGTTAATGCTCACGAGTGGGTGAGTCATGAGGGCTGATGTGAAGTGCAAGGAGTGTTTGATGATTAACCACTGCTTGCTATGATCAAATCAATGTTATAATAATTAAAGAAACACAATTCTAATGACATAATATGTAAAACTTCCATAGCTAAAGCTGATTTATAAAGAATGTCATAAGCAAATATCAATTTAATTGATTCATGGTTTCTTATTTAATATCTTTAATTTGGTCTCGCTATTACATAACTGACATTAAAAGCCTAAAAAGGGTGCAGAATATATTATTGAGGCACTCTGGATATAAGATGAGATTTCGAATTATAGATCATGATTATACACATATTTTGCAATCAATATAATAATACTCTCCCTAATTCACCCACTTACGAGTGATTTTCAACCCTTGAAATTGACTGAACGACTTGTGTAGAGGAAGGGACGGCTATTATTATTTGCCGTGGCGCTCCGAGGCGATTTAAAGATAAATAATACTGCGATTTGACAGAGCTGGGAGTATCTTAGAAACAAAGATACTTTTCAGTATCTAAGATACAAGATAGTATCTAGATACTTTTTCATGTGATGCAAAAGTATCTCAATTTAAAGATACTTTTCAAAAGTATCTATATCTAAGATACTTTATAAGTATCTTAGATACTAAAAAGTATTTAAGATACTGTATAAGTCTTAGATACTAAAAAGTATCCAAGTTACTTGTCAAAAGTATCTTGAGATACTTTTTAAAAGTATCCAAGTTACTTGTCAAAAGTATCTAAGATACTTTTTAAAAGTAGTTAAGATACTTTATGAAATATATGATTTTAGGTTGCGCTAAGTCTAGCCAAATGTTTAGACCTGTCGATTATGAGCTGATCGGTGAGTTGCATTGCAGAGGATTTCATGCTGTCAGTATACTTGGAGAAAAACAAATCTCTTTGTGAATTAGCTAGGTACTCTGTATTTACTAGGGTTGCCATACGTCACGCTTTTAGCGTATTTGCCACGCTTTTTGACTTGCTTGTACGCTTTTTATGCAAATGCCACGCTTTTTAAAAGCCGCAGAGGAACCGGATTTATATAAAAATAGAGAAATGTCCGGGTAAAAGACCCTCGTTTTTACGAAAAATAAGCTGAGGACCTTTTTTTTTTTAAACGGCAATAAACCATCTTTAATCAATATGCATTCTCAATATTAAACTTAAGGATGTAGAGTAGTCAAGCAAAACAAGAAGTTTTCTAGGTGTGGCATCTCACTGGTGACCACAATTTCCAAAGAAAATCTGCAGCATTGTCTGTCGCAGATATTTCATAAGTATCTTAGCTACTAAAAGTATCTAAGATACCTTATAAGTATCTTAGATACTTTTAGAAGTATCTTGGATACTAAAAAGTATCTTGGATACTTTTAGAAGTAATATGATAAATGAAAAATGTTTTATACAAAAAGAGTGGAAATCCTTTATCTTTATGGACCATACTCAGTCAAATGTAGTTTATGGTGTTTCAGATACTTGCTTTAAAACTTATAATATCCCATATCTTATAATTTTAGCCAGGGAAATATTTAATTTTACTAGAATATGGTGAACAGGTCAGGGTATATCTGATATTTCTGAACTATAATTCGCAATTCTCTTATAAAACAGGTCGCAGAAAGTGCCTCTGCAGACTTGTGGCAGGTACTTTTTAAAATACTGAATCGTATGACCCTTTAATTTTAATAATGAATGTTTTTAATTACCAAAAAAACGAACAATAATTCATGTACAATAATAATTACAGTTAAAAGGCAGAATTCAGATGGCTTATATGAAGATTATATCTGCCATAGAATCTGCTCTTTTAGCAATAGTTTTGTTGTAAAGGACGCCTTTACGACAAGGTGAACTTACCTGAAAGACCTGGCCCATTAAGTTTCCATTACAAATCCAGTTTATTGCATAAGTAAAATAGGTAAATTTCTTGCTTTATATACAAATATAAATGTTCCATTTGATTCAAAATATTACAGAACAGGAAAATAACGGCGGGACATTTGACTACTCACAGAACATTTTTGTTTTGATAATATTTAGGCAATTTCTAAAGAACTTCATGACATGTATAAAAAAAATAGGTTTTTACCAGTGAATTGTATATATAAATACTAACAAATTGTTAGTAGTCATCCTTAAAATACAGTTGATAAGGTATTTGATTGATTATCTTTAAATAAACTTGAAATTATGAATAATGTAATGTAAACTCACGCTAAAAATTCCCTAAAAAATGTATCTGGAGATTTTAGACAAATGACATTTGACATTGTTGCTATACCAACATAAATTTGATTAACGATTAAACAAGTGTGGCGCATTTTGATTGTGAATTTGACAAAGTTTAATTAAACGTGATTTAAAATGAAGGTAGAAGAGGTAAAAAGCACCGTAAAAACTCAAAGAATAAGTGCCCATAGCCACATTAAAGGTTTAGGTTTGGATGACGCTGGTTTCGCAATTCAATCTGCGGCCGGCTTGGTTGGACAAGAGCAGGCCAGAGAGGTTAGTTTTATAACAATTTATTCGTTTAAATTATTCGGATGCAGCACATTCTTGCTGCTTTCTAGGTTTAAAATATTTTCTTCTTTAATTTCTAGGCTGCCGGGGTAGTTGTAGATATGATAAAGAGTAAAAAAATGGCTGGTAGAGCTGTTCTGTTAGCTGGTCCTCCTGGTACAGGTAAAACGGCTATTGCTTTAGCTATTGCTCAAGAACTTGGAAATAAAGTACCATTTTGTCCCATGGTTGGTTCAGAAGTATACAGCTCCGAAATTAAGAAGACTGAAGTACTCATGGAAAATTTCCGAAGGGCTATTGGACTTAGAATTCGAGAAACCAAAGAGGTCTATGAAGGGGAAGTTAGTGAGCTCACACCTGTAGAGACAGAAAATCCAGCAGGAGGTTTGTGTTCAATCTAAAAAAAAGACTTTCTTGGTACCCTTCATAAATAGGCACAGTCTAAGATCACTTTGATCTCTCAAAAAGTCAGTGATTGTTAATAAGTTATGGTTTTTATCTTTTTCAATATTTTAGGGTATGGTAAAACTGTTAGTCATGTTGTAATTGGTTTGAGAACTGCTAAGGGTAGTAAACAATTGAAGCTGGATCCTAGCATCTATGAAGCTCTACAAAAAGAGAAAGTTGAGGTTGGAGATGTTATTTACATTGAAGCTACAAGTGGAGCTGTCAAAAGACAAGGAAGATCTGATGCATATGCCACTGAATTTGACTTGGAAGCTGAAGAATATGTTCCCCTTCCAAAAGGAGATGTACATAAGAAGAAAGAAGTAGTTCAGGTATAATTATTGATACTTTCTTCAGTAAACATATAAGTAGTAGACTTTTTTTACTGAAATTTTATCACAATATTAAAATCATGTTACAGGATGTTACTTTACATGATTTGGATGCTGCTAATGCTAAACCACAAGGAGGTCAAGATGTATTATCCATGATGGGACAACTATTAAAACCAAAGAAGACTGAAATTACAGACAAATTAAGGAAAGAAATTAACAAAATTGTTGACAAATATATTGATCAGGGTATAGCGGAATTGGTACCTGGTGTACTTTTTATTGATGAAGTTCATATGTTAGATCTAGAAACATTTACTTATCTTCATAGAGCTTTAGAAAGTGCCATAGCACCTATTGTAATTTTTGCAACAAATAGAGGTATTACTTTTTTTAAATGAATTATAATTTAGATGAAAGAAAAATATTAAATATTTATTTTGAATGTTTTTAGGGCGTTGTCTTATTAGAGGAACAGATGACATTTTCTCTTCACATGGTATACCATTAGATCTTTTGGATAGATTGCTGATTATTCGAACAATTCCTTATGGTAGATCTGATATGGAACAAATTTTGAAACTAAGGGCCACCACAGAAGGTAACCATTTTTAAAGGACTATTTTTTATCTTCTTCACCTTAACTCACACATGGCTACCCCCAGTATCGCTTTGTATTTGTTTTTTTTTATTGTTTATTTTCATTTTACACAAATTTAGTAAAATAATCCATTTTCTAATGTCAGGGGAAAAGGTTATTTTTTATAACTATGCCTTTTAAATTTAAACTCAAATCTCTACTCAGTATTCCATCAATTTAGCTTTTTGTTGCTAGTTATTTTATGACCAGCCCCGTTTAAAATAGATATGGCAACAATGTAATATACATAAAAGTGCATTCAAATCAAACCTAATGTAGCATTAAATATAAAAATATATTTGACATGTAATTTTAACCAAATAATACAGAATACAAAATTAACCTAGGGTTAATTTTAACCAAATTTTTACAGAATATGCCCCTATAAAAGATATATGGAATTACACCACCAACAATTTGGAATATTTTAAGAATACAAAATGTACACAAAATTGAATATCAATTGTTTTAGGTTTAGAAATTGAATCAGATGCCATCGCAATATTAGGAGAAATTGGTACAAAAGCTACTTTGAGATATGCAGTACAGTTGTTGACACCCTCTCATTTGACAGCTAAAATCAATGGAAGACATAATATCATCCAAAGCGATATTGAAGAAGTTGGTTCATTATTCCTTGATGCAAAATCATCTGCTAAAATTCTGACTGACAACAAGGAGAAGTTCATGACTTAATTTAAATATTGCTTTTAACATTTGGATTGAGATGTAGCCAGTTTAAATCCTTGTTCTCAGTTATTTCTGATTTCTTCCACGTTTTGGATTTGATAGGTTATTCAGAATATTATTTTTTATATATAATTTATGTTTGCATTGTTTTTTATTCTCTGAGTAGTGAATAAATTTTTTTTATATATTTTGTGTTTTATTAGAGGTTATTTATTAATTATATAAATTCCGTCTTCCTCCAGTTACAGGTTGCCATGCACCTAAGCATATGACATATTGCACCCACGCATTGACAAACGCTGGTTTAAATGGCATTATATGTATTAGTTATTACTTAATGTGTGTTTCAATTACAGTGACAATAGACAAAAATAATTTGGTCACATACCTTATTTGAAGTACTTTTTTTATGAAATGTAAACCTACAATATTAAAAAACTATACTCGGACAAAATATTGAAGAAGGTGATTCCTTCCTGTTCACGTACAACAATCATACTATACCAGAGCATAATGAATGGAATCACGCGCTTAAAACTGCAGAAGTTATCGGTATCGCGTGCCAACTAGTCATAAATGCATGTTTATTGCCAAAATGAATTACGCCAGTGGCGTATATAAACTATTGGCAAATTAAATGCGGTAATAGTAAATAAATATATGAAAGTAGGTTGGTTATCTATTTTTGTAGTAATAATCATTTATGTTTATAATTTTGTTTTGTTTATTGTTAAAATATGTAAATATGCCAGTGGCGTAGAAACACTATTGGAAAATTAAATGGGGTATTAAACTAGAACAAAATATTGAAGAAGGTGCGCCTTAAAACTGCAAAAGGTATCGTTATCATATCAAAATGCACTCTTCTAGTGTCGCAGAAATACTATATTGGCAAATTAAATGGGTATTTGTGAATATTACTAGATGAAAGTAGGTTGGTTATCTATTTTTGTTATAATTCATTATGTTTATAATTGTATTTTGTTTGTTATAAAAATATGTAAATTAAGCTTGGTATCACTTACTTGAATTCTAAATCTATGAAGTTTCGTAATCCATTGATTCTGCAGAACTATCACTGGAATCGTCTTTATCGTCAGAACTTAAAGTTATGACTAAAGGTTCAACTACCGTTTCGATCATACCGTCCAAGTGCCACATATTATTTTCTTCCTTAATTACATGGGAAATAACATTCTGCCAATCTTCAGGTTTTATACGTTATATACCGGTTTTTAATAAACTTTGAACGTCGGCTATTTTAAAAGTTTTATTTTCTCGAGCTACAAACCCTTTCACTTGCGCCCAAATTAGTTCAATAGGATTGAATTCGCAGTGATAAGGGGGAAGTCTTAGTACCGTAATACCACGATCACGAGCCATTGTTACGACAACATATTGAATATATTTATGGCGGTGTTCCTTTATTAGGTCCATTAATTCCACTTTAAGCATCTCCTCAGTAAATATTATTGCTTTATCCCGCAGCCAGGTTTGCATATCCGCTTTCCTACTGGACATTATCGGAATGCGTTCAACTCCGTCGACTGTGATAAGAAGCGTTATCTAGTACAATAACTGAATTTCGTTCTACAAGCTGTAATACTTCAGTAAACCATTTTTCAAAGCATTCCGCATTCATGTCCTCGTGGTAGTCTCCTGTTTTTTTAGATATAAACACAAGAGCGCTATTTTCCAAAAATCCACTGTCACTTCCGATATGGGTAACAATTAGGCGCTGTCCTTTACCTGATGGTGCTTTCAAACCTGTATATAATCCCTCTATAAAAGCTTGGCGATGACCAGTTACAGAAGTATCTTATTGCCATATCTTAGATACCGTGTGTCCAGCATTCACCCACGTTTCATCGAGATAGTATCTTTTTTTTTAGCAGCTCTAAACTCTTTAATATTTCGTAAATAACGCCGTCGCCAGGACACTATATCTGACCTCTCAATTAAAATTGATTTCCTACACCGTCTGACAAAACGAAATTTTAGGCCCCATAAAATTTTTCGTAAAGTTTCACGGCTCAATGAAATTTCTTCGGTTTCTCTTAATTTCGTAAGAACAACTTTAAGAGTGGGGGCTTTGTTTTCGAAAAAAAAAAAAAAAAAAAAAAAAAAAAAGAATGTATAGTTTAACAATTTTCTTCAAAATCAGAATTTTGCACATTTTGTCAAATTTCTCGAATACCTACCATTTAAAAAACGTTTGGCATAAAGCAAAAATTATAGATAATAATATTATAGAAGTAACTTTTATTTGAACAATTTTCTTCTCCAAACATAAATAACATATATTCCATAAAATATAAAAACGACCCCCTATAAAGTACCCCCAGATGTTCCGGCTTTGTCCAAAATCTAATCGTTTCACCTCAAACCGAAATAAAACATAAGTTTAAAATTTAATGTTATTTCCTTTATCGATAGTATCTTTAAAATTCGAAATTTACACATTTTCTCAAATATCTCGAATAAGGTCCATTTTAGAGAAATTATGTACCTATAGGATAAAAATTATAGAGAATTATTACAACAATTTTTATAAAAAAAATTTTTTTTTTTACATTTTGTCAAATTTCTCGAATACGGACTATTTTAGGAAAATTTTGTGTAGAACAATAATTGTAGATAATAATATTGTAAGTAACTTTTATTTGAAGAATTTTTTTCTCCAAACGTAAATAACAGATATATTCCATAAAAATTACCACCCATAAAGTACCCCCCAAATGTTCCAACTCTGCCCAAAATCTAATCAGTTCACTGGATGCCGAAATAAAGCTTAAGTTTAAAATTTAGTGTTTTTCTTTGTATCCGTTCATGAGTTAACGAGGATACAGACATCGCGAAAATAGTTAAAATAGATTCAGGGGACCCCAAAACGTAAAAACCGTCGAAAACTCGAGGTCGAAAAAAATCATGATTCTTATACTTTCCTTATCTGTATAAAGATAGAAAAGTAAAAAAAAGAACGTGCCGATGCTGCTTGTACCTACAACTGGCGCGGCGCACCGGGAAATCTCTCGGTTTCCCGGTGTGCTCATCCGCCTCTGGCGATTCCTGCGTTTTTCACATAGAAAATGATGCTACAAAATTGAATTCCTTAGATATTTGAGATACTTTTTGATCCACCCCTTGACATTTGTAATCTAATATACTAAATTTAAGTTGCAATCATTCTAATCATTCATGATTTATTATTGTAAAGTAATTTCATGAACAAAAATTTCCATTCATAGTTTTTGGGATTTTAAATGTTCCCCCATAACGTAATGAAAATTGAACCAATAGCGGGTAGCCATATGGACATGAGTTTATTTGTTGAATTTTGATTGGGTGCGCTGCAACGTCATTGATCGTGGTAGGTTTTGATTGGTACAAATATAAATTATTCTAGCATTTGACGTTTTAGTGCTGTTTAGATTTCAGTTCACATTTCAGTTTTAACAACACGTCAGTTTCTGAAAGATTTTTCGAAGTTAGCAGCCGGTGTTTTTAACAACATAAAACCCGAGGGCAATTTTTATAAGTTGGATGCAATAAGTTCGAAACAATTTGCTGCAAAATGAAGCAGTATTTGTTTTTTATTCTAGCCCTTTTTACTCTAATTGGTAAGTGATAATAACAAATTACAATCTCATAGGTGTATATAATTTTATTTATTTCATAGGGTTTGCAAAATGTGATAAGTCCGGAGAACCATCAATCGAAAAAGTTGATTTAGATCTAGGAGCAAGCAGAGATGGATCCAGAACAGGTAAAGTAATTTTTATGGTCTGATTTTTGCATAATTCATTAAGTGTTCCATTATTAAGTTATCTGTATGTTTATGGAAATTTAATCTTTTATCCCTAATATTGTTAAATCGCACATCATTATACCATCCGTATCTAAAACATAAATAGCAGGTTATTAATAAAATTACACCATATTCAATATAATTTAAAATTCCTTCTTTTTCCCATTAAGATATTTCAAGGCCCCTTATTGGAAAAACCATACATTTTACTTTGATATTATTTTTCAAATTAACACTGCCTATCTCTTTGAATGAATTATCTTTTTTTATTTTGAACTGTTACATCTTTCTTTATCAATTACATATATTTATAAATCACTCAAGGCTTTATATCTCCCGTCTAGTCATGATGAAAATGTCCAGGAATATCTGGATAACTTTATAATTTTATTTTCAATATGTCCAACCCAATCCAAATTTAATAATGACAGCTAGATCTAATCAACAATATAAATGGGAGTTTGTAAAATAGGTAATTGGCAATTTAAGCTTTAAATCGTAAATGGACCCTTTGTATATTTTTTTATTTTAATTAAAGTGTTGTATTTATGAGTTTATGTATTGAAATGTGCTAAATTAAATTATGAGCACAGTGTTGTTGTTTATGGGTATAAATTAACTATTTTAAGGGTTTTAATTTAATTTCAAGGGACCCAATATTATACAAAGTACCTAGATGTTAAAAAAATAAGGAATGATGCCTGTTTTTATTGTTTGTTTAATTTAAATAACATACCTAAATTAATAATGTTGTTTTGTTATTTTTAAATAATGTAAAATATCTAAAATGTGTGTATGTACAAAACATTTAAAAGCAATTATGTATGTAGTTGTGTCCTGCCCACTAGTGCAATGAGTGTAGTATTTAATTTTTCAAAATACATCTTATATTCACCCTCCTAGCTTGGATCGATTAAGTCTGGGTTTTGGGAAATAAAAGGTGGCAACCCTACCTAGTATACAAACAATTTATTACCTTTTTATTACTATCTATTAATTGGCAGTTATTAGTGTATGTTGTATCTAGTAATATTGCAGAATAAGAATTTTAAAATATTTAAAGCTCTGGTGCTTTTTCAATTTTTACAAAAATTGTCTAGATACTTGAATAATAAATATATTTTTTTAATTATATTATTTTTTAGGAAGGTCACATAGGAAATTTTTTTATTATAATTTATGGCTTCATTAGACCTTACTTTTGATTTTCTGTTATTGGTTTTTCATATTTTTCTCTTGGTCCAACTACAGTCAACATCTTAATATATTTTTGAGTACAATCATAATTGTGCTCATCTTTTTTAGTGTGAAATTTTTCCGTAATTATTGGTGCTAAAAATAATGTACAGTTTGTAAATATTGTATCTTAAGTTTAATTTTTGTTCTAAATAACTTACGCAAGTTAAGTGGTTTTCCTATTTGTACATTTGATCTGCCAGAGATAGTTTTTTGTGAAAAACAGAGTTTGAAAGGAATTTCTTGATCTGAATCTGTAGATTGCAATTCCTCCATTTTGTTTGATCAATAATTCAAAATAATACATTCACTACTATTTAGTTAGTGGATAAGTTTTATTTCATTGCAATCAAAAATGCAATTTTTCAATTACGTTTTTTAAAAAGAATCAAATTTATATATTTTAAAATTTTCTGTTAAAATATTTGATTTTTTTTTATTTAATTAGGAAAATATTGGATTTTAAAAATTAAAAATAAAGTAAATTCTACCTGTTTTAGTTATTAAATATTTGTTAAAAACAGATTTAGTTAAATTCAAAATATTGTGAAGAAAAATACTTAAAGAAAAATATTTTAAAACGAAGTCTTAATTCCTAAATGTCTTCATATTACACCACACAAATTATGAATGCAAAAATATATATATTTTTAATGATTTAAGTTAGTTTTTATTTTAAATATAATAAATCATTGAGTGTATTAAAGTACTAATTAATTAGCTTTTAAATGAAGTGTTACATTTTACATATTATAATAGTAGAGGGCACTAACATTAAAAGTAATGCAGTCAAAGTCATATTGCTGAATTCTTCATAAATTTATCTGTTCAAAGATGTCATACTTGGCACGTTTCCTATTTAAATTGTATTGGTTAGAGTATCAGAGGGTAGGAGAATGATGTATGATGTTTGAGGCTAAAATAAACAAAATCAAACTATTTCTTCATTTGTTTAAAAAAAATCCAATATATTATTATTTATTGTGATATAATAGTTTTGGATGAATGTTTCCAATTAGAATCTATTTCTCAATTTAACCTAGATGACTTCACCACCCATTATAACAATGGTAACATTAACAGAAATTATGGTTTTGTAATTTTGGTCAGGTCAAATCTAAATGCAGAATTAAATATAGTTAAACTGGAATATTCTGATATTTGTGTCACTAAAATAAATCTAAAAGTCAATCATCGGACCATTGGCATTACAGGTGTAAACAGGTCTCCTCAAACCTCTGCACAAGCATTTATAAGGGATTTAGAAAATTTCATACCAAATCACCTAGATAGAAATATTGAAATATTCATAGGAGACATTAATATTGATCTGCTAAATGTAACCAATCAAGTAACTACTGATTACCAAGCAACTTTTTACTCCCATGGTTTCATGTCTTACATAAACACTATTACTAGGCCACAAAGTAAAACATGCTTGGATCATATATTCTTAAAAAACAATATTAAGACTGAAAATGTATCGGTGAACTCTTATGTAATCAGCTATGATATGACTGATCATGATCCTATTATGATAAATATATCACAATCTGCCAAAAACTACACAAGTTCCTAAAATACATATAAAACTATAACTAAAATCGATACTGATAAAAAAAATTCAAAACTGTAAACTGGGAAAGTGTTTGCAATGAAAATAATCCAGAAATTGCAACACAACTTTTTTATGCCACGTATCTTAATATCATTGAAACATGTCAAACCACTCAAAATATTAAAATTAAAATCCATAAAAAAATAAAGCCATGGATAACAAATGGTTTAATTAATTCTGTTAAAACTAGGGATAAACTTAAAGAAGATCTACAAAAAAAACTATATTATTAACAAACAAACTCACTATAAAACATTTAGAAACAATTTAAACAAACTAATATCAAAAACTAAAAATGACTATTATAACAATAAAATAAACCAAAACAAAAATGATCTGAAAAAAAACTTATCAATTAATCTCTGAAGCAACTAATGAAAATCATAAAAAAATAATACCAATTTACAGATTGTTAACCAACATAATTAATTGTATTTTTAATACAGGAATTGGGGGGGTGGGTTGGCTCAGTGGTTAGAGTCATGACTTTGAGATCGGAAGGTCTCAGGATCGAATCCCACCGGTGTCAGGGATTTTTATTTAATTAAAAAAAAAATAAATAATAATTCTAATGCATAAGTAGGATTCCCCACTCGACCATTCACTGTTCGGTTCTAATTAACAGTGCTGTTCCTAAAGAGGCGCTGGGAAACAGTGACAAAGCCTACACAGAACACGAGGCTAATGGCCGTAGTAGCCGACGCCGATGACACCAAATTAAAAAAAAAAAAAAAAAAAAAAATACAGGAATCCTACCTAAACAATTTAAAACTTCAATTATAACACCTATTTATAAAGCTGGTAATCCAAAATTAATAACTAACTATAGACCTATTAGTTTAATTAGTAATGTGGCCAAAATATTTAAGAAATGTGTGAAAGATAGACTGACAGATTTTTTAAAAACTAATGACTTACTTCCCAATCACCAATATGGCTTTACTGAGGGTCTTAACTCAGGAGATGCTATGCATGAATTGATTTCATATGTTATTGATGAAATGAATACTGGTAAAAAGCGTATAGCTATATTTCTAGATCTAGCAAAAGCATTTGACATGATGCCACATCAGAAGCTCTTAAATGTTCTTGAACAGAATGGAGTGAGGGGCATCATGTTGAAGGTTTTTGAAAATTATTTGACACACAGACAACAGAAGGTAAAGGTCAGAGACAATGTGAGTAACCCTGAAAATATACAAATCGAAGTGCCTCAAGGAACTGTTCTGGGACCTATACTATTTAATTTATACATTAAGAGCTTAACTCAGATTGATATCCAAGGTAAAGTTGTATCATATGCTGATGATAGAGTGCTAGTCTTCAGTGATAAAGATTGGGAAGCCATCAAGACACATCCTATAGCTGGAATGGAACATGTCAAAAATGGGCTGGATGTTTTTAAATTGTCTTTGAATGTTAACAAAACAAACTACATTGCTTTTTCAAAGACTGGCTGATCACCTCAATTTAGAAGCTTAACATGTCAAAATTTAGACATACAGGATACAGAAACATCCAAATATTTAGGTATAATTATAGACCAGCACTTAAAATGGGACTGCCATATAATATATATAGCAAAAAAACTTTCTGATTTCTGATTTATAAATTTTATCTTCTAAAACAATTTCTCAACCAGGTTCTACTAATAACATTATACTACAGTCTAGTATAATCTATACTACGGTATGGAATCTTAGTATGTAGGCCTGTATGGAACTACATTAAATCAGTTAAAGGTTATTCAAAACAAAATCTTGAAGTTAATTAATAAAAGAGATAGATTGTGTCCCACCATAACTTTATATAATGAAAAAAATAGCAATGTTAGATGTTTATATATTCACGCAGTGTGTTGTTATATACAAAAAAATGATTTTTTAAAAAACCCTTTAGAACATAGACATAACACTAGAACTGCATCAAACATGTGCATTAAAGTACCAAAACCAAATAGTGAGTTTTTTAAAAACAATGTAAATTATCTAGGGACAAAGTTCTATAACGCTCTACCTCTTCATATAAAATTATTAAACAAATATAAAAAATTCTGTAAAGTTAGCAAAATATACATTTTCCAAAATAATTCAAAGTTTATCAGAATATTCCAAGAATAACGGACTTAAGGTAGTTCACGCGCGACAGTCGTACACAAAAATATCGTGAATACCAACCGTTCGAGATTCTTAAATCTAAAGAAAGGTTATTTTTGTAACAGACTGTACACACAACACATGTGATCCTATATACAAAAATATGGTATTATATCGCGTAAAATCCATCCGGCAACGTCGTAAATATATTGTGAAACGTCAAATGTATTCCTAAAGTGAAATAAATGTAAATATCAAAATGTTTTATTGTCAGGATCAATTAATTGCGAGATAAAGGAAAATTTGTTAAGCAGAACGTCCTCAACAAACGCAAAAAATCAATTTTGGCTATGAGTAATGCAAAAAAATTAAGAAAGGAAAAATAACCTGTGCAGTGGTCGCATCGTGGAATTACTAGAGTTGGGAAAACATTTAAAATGTTGCTGGTGTGAAAGAGTTCTTTCTCTTGAAAATATTACAAATGAAACACGAAAGGGCCTTTATTCAATTTTAAATGTTAAATGTAATGAATGTAATATTGAAACTATAGTACCTACGGACAAAGTTCATGCAACAAAAAGTGAAGTTAAGCATTCAGATGTCAACACTAAAGCAGTTCTAGGTAAATTAAAAAAAATACATAAGTATTTGTTATGTTTATAATTTTTTTATTATAATTAATATAATTTTATTTATTTAAAGGTGCTGTCATGAACGTTCCTACGATATCATCAATACTACAGAAAATCATTACTTTTATTTGTATTTTTTTTATTACTTCCTCATACTAGTAAGTTAAAATTTTAAATTACTTTATATTCATTTTTTTTGTGTAACTGTATTTTATTTTGAAGGAATGTTTAAATAAAATTATATTTATCTTTTGCATATTTATATTTATTTAATTTTGAAGACATGTTTAAATACAATTAAATTTAAATTGGTAAATCATATCAACATTAAGTATAAACAACGTCCCTTCCCAGAAGGCCTCGATAAAGTGATAAACTTGACCTGTCCGCGGCAATAAAAAGGTTGAGAAGCACTGGTCTAACAGACATTTGAATTAGCGGGCGTTGAGTGTATCGATTACAACGTTGCGAAGTTGTAATCACAATACGCCTCTATGCGTCGACTGCTTTAAGAACATTTTTATTTTAAAAATCTATATTTCTTTATCAAAACGGTAAAAAAAATTAGCGTTTTTTTAGAAAATTTTATAACTTCTTGATTTACATTACATTAGTTTTTAAAAAATATGGTAAGAACCGTTTTCGAGATATCTTGAAATAAATGCAATGATTGTGTACATGACAGGGCTTCAAGAGTGTTAATTATGCACATTTTGATTGTTAATATCTCGTTTTACAGACGGTCAAAAATTTTTATTTTTTTTTAGGTACATAAAGGACACTTTCATTAACCTCATATTTCAATTTTGTTGAATTCTTAAGAAAGACCGTTTTGCGAGTGAACTACCTTAATACATGGATTTTTTTCTTGCATAAATTGTTCGTTTTATTTTTTATTAAAAAAAAAAAATTTTTTTTTATTTCCTTTATAATTCAATAAATATAATTAAAATAAACCTAGGTGCTTGTTATTATATAATTGGTTTCCATTATTGTAACTTATTTATTATTGTAACTCATTGTAACTTATAACTATTAACTTATAACTATTCTGTTTGGGTTTTGGTCAAAAATGTTTACTGGTTTCATGTTATTCCAGTGTTAACATCATCAGGTTCTGAAACATTTTGAAGTCTGTTTACTAGTTAATGTGTATATTTAAAGTCAAAGCAGACATATTTGCATGAATAAATTTGATAAAAAAATGAATAATATCACTTTAAGAAACTTTCTACTTCTTAAAAATTCAGACTGGCTGTCATTTTGTAGTGATTTTTTACAAACTGCTTCCCTCACAAAGTCTAGCAAAAATCACTGTTACCATGACCATTGCCAGAAATTACTACATAGTTGTAGTTAGGTACTATTTTTTATTTATGCAAATACACACACTACTGTCATTTAATTCCATTCTTACTTTTTTTACTTTCAAGTTGTACAGACTATATAATATTATTATTATTATTATTATTATTATTATTATTTTGATTCTAGATGATGAAGTTGTTAAAAGAGAAGAAGAGGCAATCAAACTTGATGGTCTCAATGTTGCCCAACTTAAAGAATTAAGAGAAAAGTCTGAGAAATTCCAATTCCAAACAGAAGTTAATAGAATGATGAAACTTATTATTAACTCTTTGTATAGAAATAAAGAAGTAAGTCACTATTTACAACTAACTTAGCTATCTCAATTACTATTGCCATCATTATTGTTTTAGATTTTCCTAAGAGAATTGATTTCAAATGCATCTGATGCCATAGATAAAATTAGAATGCTCTCCTTAACAGAAAAGGGTGTACTAGATGCACAACCAGAACTAAATATTCGAATAAAAGCAGACAAAGATTCTGGAATGCTTCATATAACAGATACTGGTATTGGTATGACTAAACAGGATTTGGTAAATAATTTGGGAACCATAGCAAAATCTGGAACAGCAGAGTTTTTGAGCAAGATGCAGAATTCAGAGACGTCACAAGATATGAATGATATGATTGGTCAATTTGGTGTAGGATTTTATTCTGCTTTCCTGGTCGCTGATAAGGTTATTGTAACCTCTAAACATAACAGCGATAAGCAATACATCTGGGAATCTGATTCAGCTTCATTCAGCATTGTTGAAGATCCTAGAGGCGATTCATTAAAGAGAGGTATGTTTCATCTTTTTAATTATTTATTTTTTGTTCTAAGATTTGCACATTTTATTGACCAGGAACCACTGTCAGTTTGGAATTGAAACCAGAAGCTAGAGATTTCTTGGAACATGATACTGTTCGTAATTTGGTAAAGAAATACTCTCAATTCATCAACTTCCCCATCTACTTGTGGACCAGCCACACAGAAACTACTGAAGAACCATTGGACGAAGATTTGTCTGAAGAAAAACCGACTCCCAGTGATGAAGATGATGCAGCAGTTGAAGAGGAAAAGGAAGAAGACAAGCCAAAAACCAAGAAAGTTGAAAAAACAGTTTGGGATTGGGAATTGTTGAACGACAGCAAACCAATTTGGACCAGAAAACCTGCAGAAGTTGAAGATAAGGAATATGATGAATTCTATAAAGCATTGACCAAGGATACCAAAGAACCACTAACCAAGATTCATTTTGTTGCTGAAGGAGAAGTGACTTTCAAGTCTTTGTTGTATGTTCCTCAAGCTCAGCCATCAGAAAGTTTTAACAGGTATGTAAGTATAGGTATCAAATATATATTTATTTGTGTGGGTTTATCACTAAAATAGATTGTGGCATTGTTTAGGATTTTTTTTTAAGATTTGTGCTTTGAAATTACTCAACATTACACTAAATCAAATTAGAAATACTTGATATATTAGGATTAGTAGTATTAGTTTTTCTAGTCTATTTTACATGCAATTCTAAATATTTTCTTATAGGTATGGAACTAAAACTGACAATATTAAATTGTACGTCCGGCGTGTATTTATCACTGATGAATTTAATGATATGATGCCATCATATCTCAGTTTTATCCGTGGTATTGTTGATTCAGATGATTTGCCATTAAATGTTTCTCGTGAGACTTTGCAACAACATAAATTGATCAAGGTAAACTAAATTTGTAATAAACTAAAAACCGCTCTGACATTTCCTTCAAGCATTTTTTTTTTCATTTGAATATTTTTTTAGGTAATCAAGAAGAAATTGGTACGTAAGGTTTTGGATATGCTTAAAAAGCTTCCCGAAGAGGAATATGAAAAATTCTGGAAAGAATTCTCCACCAACATTAAGTTAGGAGCCATTGAAGATCCTTCCAACCGCACCAGATTGGCCAAACTCTTGAGATTCTTTTCATCTAATGGATCAGGTACCACTGGCTTGGCTGATTATGTCAACAGGATGAAACCAAAACAGGACAAAATCTTTTATATTGCTGGTTCTTCAAAGGAAGAAGTTTCCAAATCGCCTTTTGTTGAAAGGTTGTTACGTAAAGGTTAGTACAGTTTTTAAAATTTATTGACTTTTTATTAACAGACTTCAAAAAAGGAGGAGGTTCTTACTTCATCATATTTTTGTTTTGTATGTTCAGCGATAATTCTTTAACATGGTGTCCGATTTTAATGATTCTTTTTTTGTTAGAAAGGGGATACTTCAGGGGTGGTTCCATATAAATTTGGTCAAAATCTAATAATTGGGTCCATTAGAAAATCCTCAGACTCTTCATTTTTTATACGATTTATATGATTCTTTTTTTGTTAGAAAGGGGGTACCTGAGGGGTGGTCTCATATAAATTTGGTCAAAATTTAATAATTGGGTCCATGAGAAAAATCCTCAAACTCATCATTTTTTTTGTATGTTTAGCGATTATTCTTTACCACCTTTTCCAATTTCTATGATTCTTTTTTGTTAGTAAGGGGTTACCTCATGGGTGGTCCCATATAAATTTGGTTAAGATGTGGTGACGGCATCTGCATGATTTTGAAGTCGGTTTTTTAAAATTACTTTTAATACTTTTAAATAAATAAATTTTATTTCCCAAACTACAAACTTACATTTGTTTAAGGTTTTTATCATATTCTAAATTAAAACCAAACAACTAAAAGAGCAAATACGTCTAAAAAATAAAAATAACTATATTTTTTGCCATCTATATAGTGTGTCCACAGATGGACTTAACTATACTTGTAAAATTATTTTAAATTAAAAAAAAATCTTTCATCATTTTTTTTTTTTTTTAACTCACAATCAGAAACTTTTATTTTGTTATACTGGGTGTGCGAAAAATACAATTATTGTGGATTTACGAAATTCAAAATTTTTAAGTAATTTTTTTTGGTAACAGTTAAATAAAAAAACTTCATTTGCTTTTTCGATTTTTCGTTATAAGCTATTTGACGTTTTTAATTTTGTAAATCCACAATTTATTGTATTTTTCATTGGACAAAAATATTGAAGTTTCTCAACAAGAATCGTATTTATTTAACAAGCTAAAGAAATTATGAAGAATTATTTTTTTTTATTTAAAATAAATTTTGTAACAATTGTTTATTTAAAAAATAAGTTTATTTACACTACGGACTAATTAATTTATTTATACTTAAACACTATTTATATTCAGCACACTTCTAATTTATTTCACAATTATAACGATTTGAATGGCTATTTTCCACTGTGTCTCACTTTCAACTAACTGACTTCCTGTGCAATACTGCCCATTTATAAATTTATAAATTGGTGTATGGCCTAGATTATTCTCACTTCCACCGTTTATTAGACTGGCGTCTCCGGCAATTTCTCGAATATACTCCTACTCTAGTATCTTCCCGAATGAATGATTCATACCAGCTATTTGGGACCATAGGCGTAAAAGGGGGTTTATCCCCTTCAACAAATATTCCTGGTTTAAGGACAAGTGGGGTCGTTAAAAGGCTTAAAACAAGGCTTAGACTAAAAGGATTAGAGAATGATTAGATTGGTCGGAAATGGCTTGCATATTACAATATTTTTACAAGTATAGTTAAGTCCACCCATGGACACACTTACATCATATACAATTTTTACTACTTTTTGTTATTCTTGTTGCATTTCTTGTCAAAATTTTATTGTATCAATAAATAATATAGGTAGTTTTTCTTTTTTTGATTTGTTGAAATCACCATTTATTATGACTTTACCTGCATAATTGTGTACCCTATCTAGTAAAATGTTTGTCAAATAAAACTATGAAAATTTTGTTGTTTGGGTAATCTATTTATAGTTTTCTGTAACACATCTTATTCTATAATAATTTTAATTGCACTACATTCAAATATTTGCTCATAATTTAGATTAGATTGTTAAATTTATCTATGACTATATTGTATACCATTTTTTTGTAGAGATAAATACACCTCACTAAAACAGTAAAAATTAGCTGTGTTGTAGTTTATAATAGAATATGCTTCTACTTCATCTATTCATATCGAAACGTTCTTGATTGCTACTACTTCAAAATTATTGATTTTATTTCTTATTCTTCTAAAGTGCGAAAACAAGTTAGGTCACTCCTTTCGATTATTTCTAGCCTTTCATATGATTGTAGTTTGGTATCTGAAATTTATCATGTTATCTTTGAAGAAAATTTATTTTTTTTTATAATGACATAACTAAGTCACAAGTTTTTTGTAAATAAGCCATCCTCTAATTCTTGAGAAGTTCCCATAAAGGATGATGGGTTGAAAATTTTTCTCAATGGTACAACAATGAAAGGTTTTCCTAAAATTTTTGTTTATAAATATAATGTCTTCATTTGTGCCATATTTGCATCTATCAATGTCACATCTTCTTCAAACAATGCAGCATCATTGAATTGATCTTGTATAAAAGAGCCAATTATTACTTTATTATAACTTTTATTTACTTAAACAGTTTGTTATTTAATTTATTTTAACTAAAAACATTTATTAACAGACTTCAAAAAAGGAGGAGGTTCTCAATTCATTGCAATATATTTTTTTTATGTATGTTCAGCGATAATTCTTTAACACGGTGTCCGATTTCAATGATTTTTTTTTTGTTAGAAAGGGGGTACCTCAGGTGTGGTCCCATATAAATTTGGTTAAGATGTGGTGATGATAATCTGCACGTTTTTGAAGTCGGTTTTTTAAATTTTTAATTTCTAATACTTGTTTACCAACTCAATTTATTTATACTCAATACAATGCTATTTCAAACTCTCCTATACTAATCGATTTAATATTTTTTTAACACAAATCGATATCTATCTATAACTAAATCTATATCAACAAAGTTTGGCTATTTATATAAATAATGTGGCGTTCCAGACCTGTCTCAAAGACTCTAGACGCTTTTGATTCGACAAGACCAGCTGTACTCAACCTTTTTTTCTTTTGGGCCACATAAATCTGTTTGTTATGCTACATGGGCCATAACGGGTCATAACTAGAGTTACCACCTTTTTGAAATGCAAATTAAAGGACAATGGGTGACGATAAGGATCCGCTTTAAATATTTTCTAAAAAAAAGGTCCTCATGTTATTTTAGCTGTTTTAATAAGCTTTGAAAAGTCGCAAGGACAGGATTGTAGGTCAACCATTTTTCAATTACTAATGATCGTGTTTGGGGCTGCACAAAAAAGCTTGGAGGACCGCAAAAAAGTTTGGAGAGCCGCACAAAACAGCTTGGAGGGCTGCAAGTTGAATATAGCTGACTGGACCAAGTATTGGCATCGCGTTTCTAGAAATTTTATTTAGGCAAATGAATGGCTCCTTGACTGGCGATAACGAAACCGTAAAGCAGAACTGAACTGGTTGAAAATGGCTCGCGCGACATTGTTATTGTTTCTTATTATTTTCCCACTATTATCCATATTGATGTGAATTATATTATTTAGCTTCACTTGGGTTTGGGCTTGGGCTTTTATAATTTCTAATGAGACTTCCTTTTGATTTATTAATTGATTGCCCCTGTATTTCAGAATATCCACTTTCTTTTATTTGATTTTTGTTATTTATTATCGATTTATTTTTTTGTCCAGATAAGGACATTGTGAATTTTGAAATAATTATGGTTGCTTTTATTGTTATTGTTCTTATAAAAATGTGCATTTTCGAGTCTGTTAAGTTATTTTTTTCCAAAATCGTTATTTTTTCTTGTAATAAATGTACGATTTTCTTTATCTGATATTATGATGTCATATTGTTATTTTTCTGAGATACTTTCAATACAACATATTTTTATTCTTTAAGCACAGCTGGAATGGTAAACTGTTTCACAAACAGCACTGGTAACATTTTTTGTACAATATTTGTACGATTTTTTTTTTTGAAGATACTGACTTCGATTTATATTGTCTGCCTTCTTTATTTATTTTTAATACTTTTAAAAACATTTTTCTCAATACCATGTTGAATAAAGTTGACTAAGTTGTTCTTTGTTTTGTTATAAGTACTGTATCATCTGTCATCTAATATATTACACATGCCTAATATCCTAATATTTTTTTGGTCATTGTACATTATAAGGCATGTTTAATTTTTCTAAAAAAATATGTCTGATATCAAATAAAGTCGTTCACATTACATGTCAGGTTAATTAATTCGTTTAGCTCGATAATAAACATTGTAGAATTTACTTACTACTATATATTAAGCAGAATAGCTGTTATCCAGTAATTTTTTAGGGTATGAGGTGTTGTACTTGGTAGAAGCGGTAGACGAATACGCCATCTCTGCCATCCCAGAATATGAAGGCAAGAAATTCCAAAACGTCGCCAAAGAAGGTTTCAGCCTTACAGAAGCTGAGGGAGGCAAAGAACAGTTGGAGGAATTGAAGAAAACTTTCGAACCGCTTACCAAATGGTTGGGAGATGATGCTTTGAAAGATGATGTTGCTAAAGCTCAAGTCTCAGAAAGGTAAGAGATTTTCTGTTTACCGAAAAAAATTCAAAACAATATTTTTATATTATTATTGGAATTTTAAACATAATAACATTAACATAGATATTGTCAATGACTGCTGGAACTCCAGACATTTGTTGTAAGTCTTAACAACAATAATTAACTATGGTATTTAAGCTACTTAATTTCTGTAGTCTCTAATAAACTTGATGTTCTTTAAATTTTTGCAACCGTTTTTTAAAATTGGCTTGATTTTATATTTCAAAATCAATTTCCCATTGTGGTGAGATTCGTACATTGATGAGTACTTGGACTATTGGATCAGACATTATAAAGTTTTACCCCATCTGTTATTTTGATTTGATAACTACTAAAGGATAATAAAATAAAAACCAACAATTTGTAACTAGAATGCCTATTAATATTCTGACCCTACATAGATCATTACAGTTTTTATCATATGCTTTATCAAACACTAGCATGTTTCAAGAAGTGTCAAGAAATTTTAGAGAAACAATTTTTTTTTATATTTTAAGTTTTTGCTTAAAAACTTTGTTTTGTTTTTCTTTATTCTTTTCTACCTGTTGTCAAAGTTATCTTCTAAGTCGTTTTTTTCTAGGACCTTCTAGGATAGATTCCTTATTTGTAGTTGTAGGTGAAGGGCCTAGCTCAGCTTCCAAATGAATTGATCTTTTTAAGTCCTGAAACAATCAATTATTATGGTAATGTTTTGAATTGTACACAAAAGGGTTGTTAAATTCTTAAAAGTGCATAACATAATATTGAAAATTAATTAAAAAAATATACATACAGTGAGCATCTTAAGTCTTACCCCCCCTAACTAACTCGTTACTGGGGTTTTGTTAGGAAAATCGCCGAGACAGGTCGATTTTTAATTTCTACAATGTACATTTTTGCATGATTAGTTAACCCTCAATTTCATCCCTTACTGGAGGGTAAAAACCCTTTCGAAAAATTTATATGGCATGGGGTGGTGAGTGATAGCTCATTTGAAAGGGGGTTTTATTCTCTATTCATCCCGTGCAAAAAATTTGAAATTTGCATCATTACATGTTGATTTATTAATGTTTAAAAATAACAAAACCTCACAAAATAGGAAAGCAACTAGACTAACAGTGACCTTCTAATGGCAAAAAGTCTTACTTCACGTCTGAACCAAAACCGAAGTCATGCAGGGCCGAATTCTAAGGATGAGTGCGCTACGTTAATTTCCGTTATTCTGAAACAACAATTAGTCGAGAATTAATGAAGCAAATTTCAAATTTTTTTACACGGTTGAATAAAGAATAAAACCCTCTTTCAAATGAGCTATCACCACCCCATGCCATTTAAATTTTTCGAAAGGGTTGCTCCCCTCCAGTAAGGGATGAAATTAAGGGTAACCTATTCATACAAAAATGTACATTGTAGAAATCAAAAATAGACCTGTCTCGGCGATTTTCCTGACAAGACTCCAGTAACGAGTTAGATAGGGGGGGTAAGACTTATGGTGCTCACTGTATATGTTTAATTATGTTTATTAGTATACTAACCTTCTTTGGCTTCATGTATTTAGGAAATCAGGAAATATAGTGGGAACTGCTGCATTTAATTAACGTCTCATAACAAAAAATCTTGTTTTAAACACAATCTGTCATTTGGCATAGGCGTCTAATTTGCAATTTTTGTTGCCAAATCCACAAATCCAAAGATTTTTTGCTGGATCCACAGAAAATCAAACATAAAACAAATAAACATTGCTACAATTAAATAAAAAGCAAAAGACAAATATCTAGAGTAAATTTAAAATTTATTAAAAATTAATATTTAGAATTGTACAATATGCCACTGGAAAAAATGGCTTGTTTGGCAGTTTTAATATCATTAATTACTTATTACAATGAAAAGCATAAAATAAACTTACTTGGCAGGTAACATTTATTATTCTGGAGTGAAACATGTACAATATATTAATACCAAGTTGTATAAAACCATATAAAATGAAAAATATAAGAAAGTATATAAAGTAAAAATTATATTTATTACTTACCTGTGAAACGTAATATCTGCTTCTTTCTTGTCACTACGACTTTCCACTGATATTCAATACAATAAACCATTGATACAAACTAATTGACAAATGTTGTTTAATTCAAAAATCAGAAATTAACGTCAACAAAAGCTGTGGTGTCGCCGGAATGTTTAACACCAAAATAATGGCGGCCAATCTATAATCGGTACAGAATACTAAGAGTGCTTGATGTACTTGTTACGTGTCCTCTCTTTTTCCTTGACTAAGCTCATATCTGCCATGAGTATTTTTCATCATATCATAGGGGAATTGGGACTTATTAATTTTTATATTTCCAAAATTAGTTTTTTGGATCTCAACCAATTTTTGTACTTAACTTTAATTAATTACATAATCCATTTAATATCTTTATCTATTAAATTACGCAGGTAAAATCTATAAAGCATCAATTAATAAATTTGACTCAGAAATTCTTTGAAAAAGAAGAGACTAGAAATATACTTGAACCACTATGAGGACTCTGTGATTTACTTAGACATGTCAAGAGGAAGTTTCTAGAAATTACCATATTGGAATATATCACATTACAGTGGGCTTTTAAGAGACATACAGCCGGTTGCAAGAACGATTGTTAAAATCTCTCGTTAGCTAAAGAACAAATAACTAACTGAGATTAAAACTGGCAACGGCGCTTTTCCAACTGACAGTCTGTCGCTTCACAGCTGATCACGGGAGATTTTTAAATTAATGAAGTTAATTTGGTAATATTTTTTCGAAAACTAATTACAAATAAAGTAAAAAATGAAATTGAGGCTCAACCTTTACGGCTATGGTTAAATGTTTTTTAATATACAGAAGCAAGGACAGTCGGTTCAGAGAAAAAATGTTTTACACATGAATATAATTTCTTAAAATAAATAGAATGGCTTAAATGAAGAAAAGGTTCCAAGAAGTCACTGGAAAAAGAGGAAAATACTCATTTAACTGCCCTTCTAGTAGTGCCCGATTAAAAATCTGTGATTTGTGGTTTAAAGCAACAGTATTTAAATATAGTTTGTCCCTTTTATATAAACTAAAACTATTTTTTCTTGTACTTACTTTACATTTTCTCTTCCCGTTTGTCATGGAAAATTATTTTTTTGTTAGAAAGGGGGCTCCTCAGAGATGGTTTCATATATAAATTTGGTAAAGATCTGATGATGGGATTCATGAGAAAATAATCACTCTTCGTATTTTGTAGTCGTCAGTTTTTTTAAATTAATTTTGTAACTTATACATTTTTCAATGAATCAAAGTAAAAAACTGTTTAAATTGGGAAATTTAAAGTTCAGTATCTATTTTTTAGTTAGAAAATGAAAACTGGAGGAGAGATGGTAAAATCTCTGGTATGAGAAATAAATTCACATTTGACCTATTCTTGAAAATCATATACAGTTCCTTTAATTCTTTCAATTTGGATGCTATATTTCTTTGCTAATAAACTAATGCTAGAATTTATTTTTTATTTAAGAACAACTTTCTATTTGTACAATATTGGCATTTCTAGATTGTTGAGAAAATTAAATAATTATGATATGATAATTAGCTTTTATAGGTTGTGTAATAGTTGAAATTTAGAATATTAAATAATTGCTATGTAAATTACACTTATTTACCTTAATATATTTGCTTTCACATTTATAATTTACAGATTTGTAGGTCATAAATAAAACACCAAATTCATTTTAAAATTTTATTTTTTAGGATTAAATTAATATACACAAAATACATAACATAATAAAAAAGATAATAAATCTACAATAAATAAAAATACATTTAATTTGCCCATCATTATTAAGAATTCTAATTCTAGAAAATAAACATTCAATTCAGGATTTCTTTTTGGTTATGACAGGTTTCAAGTTTACTAGTAATTTTGCGTTAAAATTTACAGTTTGCCTAACGTATTGGATATGTCTACTTAGCCAGTTCCACATATTTAATAAATGTATAAAAAGAAATGGATTATTTCAACATAGGTACAAACAATAAAAATGTTATTACTGATAGTAGTTTACTGCTAAATATTTACTTTTTCTGAAAATAGGCAGGAAAAAACTATAAAATAATATTAAATATGGTTGAAAATAATGAGAATGTATAAATACATAACATTTATACGAATTAAAAAGTTTTTAACAATATAAGTAGAGATACCAAGCTCCACAGTTATATGACTTAAAATTATTCATGCTATCATCTCATGAAATATTTTAAAATACTTAGCAAACACCTATATTACTACAAAGTAATGCCTATTTAAAAATAAAAATATATTGCTTCAAGGCTATACCTCCGTCATAAGCCAAACCCCCATAACTGACAAATTACAAATATTTGAGGTTATTTGACCATTCTGATACTAACCCATTTTTCTTTTTAAAAAGTAAACAAAATACCAGCAATTTTTATTCTGTATCCTAAAAAGTCAACTTGATTCTACAATGTAACTAACATTTTTCTAGAGAATTCTTATCAAAAATCAACCCAAAACATTAAATCACACTTATTTATATAACTAGTTAACATTATTCAAAACTTGTCTTTAATTCAACAAAAGAAGCTATATTGGTAACACATATCAAAATACTGGCACTAATAAATTTATTTTATTGCATATATCTTCATTCTATAGTTTGTGTAGTTACTGGGGCAGTATAGATATTTTAAAGTTTTATTTGTGAGCCAAGCCTGTCTTGTTTCAAGATTAGTTGTCCATACAACAATATTTTTAATTTTGTTGTGTTACAAAGTTTTCCTTTTTTAACTGTATGGTTTTGCTTGAGAGTCTGTGCAGGGGGACTGGAAGAGTCTACTTGGACCAGGCAAGGGTTTAGTAGATTCCTTGGGAGTGAAGAGACTACTAGGAGAAGCAGCTACGGAGACTCCACTGAAAAGAGGCATAATATCAATTATTGATTGGTGCACCTACAGAATAATAAATAAATACATATTATTCTAGAGCTCTTAAAAGTATGTTCCGAAATATAATGATATAACAAAATTTATAGGAAATTCATCATTGAAGAAGTTATAACTCGAACCTACATAGAGATTCAACGATGATATTTAGCTGCAGTTAACTAGGACTCGTGTAATTATTTATTGCAATGCAAGAACCTAAATAAACCTACAGTTATACTTTACTAAAATATGTAAAAGTTCCCTTCAATTCCAAATTTGTCTTCATATTGCACTAATTTTCTTACCAACATACAAAGTATTTGTGATAATTATACAGGATGGTCCAAATTTGACAGGTTTATAAGATATTACTAAATTAGCAGGGGATAAAGCACATTTGATCTCACCTTTTTTTTAAACTAAACATGTTATTTTATATCCCGTTATAAATTCCTCCCCTAAGTAAAATGTAAGCGTGATTTTTAAAATATCATTATTTTGTTTGGGTGTTCAAATAAAAAATGGTAAATGGTATTATCTTGAAAATTTGTACCCCTTGAAAAAATAATAAGAGTATGACAATAGATTTTACATATGTAACTATGTCAAATTATTAAATTGTTTTTGAAAATAAGATATTTATTTGAGATAATAAATTATGATAAAATTAGAAAATCACCCTATAGCTTCTAAAATGGATTTATAACATAACTAAGCATTCCATGTTTTATTTCTCAAAAAATTTAAGAATGGTGGGTTATAAGGTTTCCATATCTAGTTGTATCATGTAAAAGCGTCGAATTTTGACCACCATGTATAATAAAACAGCTAAGTTTAAATAAAATACTTTCTTACCAAAGAATGCAGCAGTGGAATCAATGGGGACTCTATTTGATTATAAAAAAATGCTTTAATTTGAGCCTATCTCATCAAGTTGAAGATTAACCATGCCTCCTTCTCGTTTTTCACCCTTAAACAAATAAGGAAAGAATTTAAATAAACAAAATTAATACTAAACGTTAGTTATTTCCAATTTTATTTTTTTTTAACTTTAGTAGTTTGAATAATCTTTAAAATGGGAAAAGACAGATATTGCTAAAATTGTATAAATAATAACACATACAAAAGAAGTTTTATATTGTATATATAAAAGTGATTTAATTTCTGTTTAAATTCAAATCCTATAAATTAATCTTTTAAAATATAAAATTTCTGTTAAATAACATTATTATTATAGGTACTTTGCTCAGAAAATTAACTTTAAATATATTACTGCATAAATTTTTAATTTGATTTCAAATAAATGTTTGCTTTTATTACTAAGAAGGCACAATATTCTATACTATATAGAAGGTAAGTATATTAATGTTACTGTCCCAGAAGGGTGGGTGTACAAATATGTTACGTATAATAAGTGTCCTTTGAATGAGACAAAAAAATACGAACCTTGTCCTGTCTCTCCTTCTTTTTAACCTCTTGTAAAGTTTAGTTTTCTTTTTGTTGTATCTCACTTTTAGATTTCCTTGTATCAGTTTTATATTTAATAAAAGCTAGTTATTCCTAATTAGTATTTTGGCCAATACAACTTCTTAGCAATTTACCTAAAATTTTAACCCCAAAAATGTAGTTGGAAATACAAATTAAGTATGTAATAAAGTTTTTGAAGGAATTTTATGTACTTATTATTAATTTACTTACCAAGTGGTTTTTCTTCTATCTGTAGCAGTAAATTGCTTGCGATTTTTTTTGTCAACCATTATAATACTTCAACTAAACGAACTCAAATTGAACTTTTATAATATATATTCAAAGTACCTCTCGACACTCACATAAATTGGCTGGAAAATTGAAAAATTCTAAAATATTATTCAGTAAAGATAATCTGTCAAAGTAAATGACGAGCAAAGCTGACAGATGAAGCGACGTTGCCAGTTCACGTCGTCGTTAAAAATTAAGAGAAGAATGCAACCCGTACTACACCTTTAGTAAAAGATTTGGGTTTAACGAGTCATTAGATATTTAACGATCGTTGTTGCAACCCGCTGATAGGGGTCTATTCTGTAATGTTTCAGTTAATTTTAACTACCATGTTAAAAAGTTATTTGTAGCTATGCCGTTCAAATTTTAACCCAAATATACTTGGTATTCCATCAATTTAAATTTTTGTTATAGACATGGCAACGATGTAATGTACCTAAAAGTGCATTCAAATAAATTTGATATGTAATTTTAACCAAATAATACAGAATATAAAATTAAAAATAACATCCAGTTATTTTTATAACCTAGGATTAATTTTAACCAAATTTTTACAGGTTATACCCCATAAACCCACACACCATTTTTTTTGTTGAAGACATGTTATACTCTTATATTTAACTTTTAGTTATTTTTTAACAAACTGCAATGTTCATTCACATTTTGCGTTTTATAAGTAATAAGCTGAAGGATTTTGGTCGATTGCCAGTTAGTTATCCCAATAAAATACGTTTATTATTATTATTCAAAATAACAAATGGAAAATAACTTTCTAATGCCAGATCTCGTAGTTCTTACTGCAAATATAATTTTTATCTAATGACTGGTCTTTATTACAGATTGTCAGACTCTCCTTGCGCTCTAGTAGCAAGTTTATTCGGCTGGACCGGAAACATGGAAAGACTAGCAGTATCCAACGCTCACCAAAAGGCCGATGACCCTCAAAGAACTTACTACCTCAACCAAAAGAAAACTTTAGAAATTAATCCCAGGCATCCTTTGATGAAAGAACTTCTCAAGAGGGTGGTGGACGATCCGACTGACCCAACAGCCAAAGATATGGCTAAAATGATGTTCAGAACGGCTACTTTAAGATCTGGTTACATGTTGAGGGAAACTGCCGAATTTGCTCAGTCCGTTGAAGCTATGATGAGGAAAACGCTTGGTATACCGCTTGATGAACAGGTCGAAGAAGAAGAGGATCTTCCTGAAGATTCTATGGGCGATGATGAAGAAATTGATGCTGATTCTGAATCTAAAGATGATGAACATGATGAACTTTAAGTGTTTGTGTGAGATTGTGTGTGTACAAATGATTGTATGATGTTTAAAGACTGTAATATTGATTTTTTTGTACTTTTTGTTTTTCAATAAAAATTATTATTTATTTTTAATATGCGTTTTCTTGTTTGTACAGGTTTTTGTTTTGATTATGCAATTAAGATTGGATTGCTAAAATATTTTCTGTTTTTCAATAAAAATTATGATTTAGTTTTAATGTGTTTTCTTATTTGGACTGGCTTTTGTTTTGATCATGCAATTAAAGTTGGTTTTCTAAAATAATAATTTAGAAACATTTTATATAAAAGTATTGGTTTGATTTTTGTAGAGAAAAGAAGTTCTGAATATTCGATACATTTTGAACAAAGACTTCAAAACACCTCGAATTAAACAAAATCCTTTTGACAGATTATATCGGAAGTGACAGGTAAACAAAAATTCTTTGTACAGTTTTATTCAATAATTTATTTACAACTTAACAGTAATTTATTTTAATAATATAATAATAATAATCTCCCTAATTCACCCCCTTACGAGTGAATTTCAACCCCTGAAATCGACTGAATCACTTGTGTAGGGGAAGGGACGGCTATTATTATTATTTGCCGTGGCGCTCCGGGGCGACTTAAGGATGATTGATGGTGCCATTTGACTTACAGGTGAGGAAAACCCGGAAAACCTCACCCACCATCATCGAGACGATAATGTATGGCGATTTTATAATCTGCATGTCATATAAATAGAAATTGAATTTCTATTAATACGGCACACATCAAATCCTAAACCGAACCATGCAATTTAATTAAGAATCCACAGGGTCTGGTCTGGGATTCGAAGCCCAGCAGTCTCGGACTCATAAACTTGCCTATAAATGAATATAAGCGCGTTAGACCGCTACACCATCGACCCGATGAATACTTATTTTCTATATCAGCATTTATTTATATTTCAAACACATACTCATACTAATTTATATCAATATTTAACTTTACAATTCGAATATCTATCTTAAACTAATTCAGGCGGAAAAATTCGTCTATTTATATACATCAGCGGGTACAATTGCAAATTCTGGAGGATTCACGAACATTCCTTACAGTCCTTCGCCAAAAGTCGAAGTTTAGCAGTTTCGCCACTTCTTCAGTACTTCTAGAAGGCACCTGGACCATTTCTTTCACCATACGCGAATCTACAGATTCCTCGATTCTGGTATATTCTAAAATGAATGATTCAGTCCGATTCAGGCAACCATAGGGGTACCTGTAAAAGGGATTTCATTTCATCAGATTCTTGGTTATTCAATAAATATTTTAATAGCAAGGCCGGTAATCTGATGGGCCAAGAGTTTCCAAATCGTGGTAGGTACATTTGTAACATGACACTATAAAAAGAAGGTATGATATTACGCAGGCTGATACTATATGTCACGGAGACGTAATGTGGCAGAAGGCGTGGCTTTTACGAATTTGACGTATCAGCTAATCGAAAATAACGCCCGAAAATTAATTTTAATCGATTCATGGCCAATCAGATAACCATATTCCACACCACAATATCTCATCCGCGAACTCGACGAGATTTCGTCGGCTAAGTTTCATATCTATTCTTTTTTGTATCATGCGTTTGTAATACTTCCTACAACCAAAACAATTTCTTATTTAGAAAAGTACAGAGAAGAAATTTGAATGAGTGAATAAGATATCAAGGTAAAAAGAGTGTAGGTTATGATGAGGTTACCTATTAAAATATCAATCATTCAATTTATACCTTACTTTAAAACAGGTGATCCAGCTTTGTTAGCCTATTATAGATTTATTAGTCTTTGTAGCTCTTTTTCCAACATTTTGAACACACAGCAACTATTCTCATTTTTGGTAGATCAAAAATTGTTTAAGAAGTGCCGCAATGAGCACAGAAATGGCGTTTGAATTGTCTACCAAAATTTATAATTCTCTGGATGCCGGAAATGTTTCCTGTGGAATCTTTCTGGATCTATCCAGACTTGACTATATATTGATTTCAATATTTTACATAAAAAAAAACTACATTACGGAGTTTTAAACATATATCGGTGGCAGCAAAAAAAAAACATTAAAACACTACAAGATAACACTAGTCTGTATATATATATATATATATAGACACAAGCATTGGGCATCTTTTCCAGAGGTAGATTTGTCACCTGTCCTTTTTTGAAGCAAAATGTACTTGCGACTTGTCTTTTCTCACAGCACATAATATCTTTGGAAGGGACATGGTTTGTACAAGAAATATAGAAAGCTGAGGACTTTTTTTTTAAGTAACCCGGTAGAATGACGAGGAGGATTTTTTTTGTTACAAGCTCGCCGACTTTTTTTCTTGTTTTTTAGAAGTTTTTGTATACCGGAGTCCGTGTCAGCATCGTAGTCCTTTATTCACTTTTCAAAAAGGTGGCAACCCTATCCAGGGGAGTCCCACAGGACGGTGTTCTAGGTCCCCTAATTTTTATAATTTACATAAATGACGTAATTAAGTACAATTGTCAAAGAATGTTAAATAATCAAATATGCAGATACCTATTAGGTTTGTTCCTGAAGCGAGTTCCAAAATTGTTACAAACATTATCTGATACGCATGCGTGAGCAGAATAATGTTCGGAATGAGTTCTGAATAAATGTGTGCTGGAACATTAAAAAAATTAATGTTGCTAAATACAGGTCATTCGATTATATTTATTAAAAAAAGATTTGAGGTTATACTTTATGATCAACTCAAAATTGCACAAATAAAAACTACACTCATTATATTTTTTACTGATATAATGCTGTATAAGATTTTAATCAAAATTATAGATAATAGGCACTCACAAAAATAACCAAATATCCAATTAAAAACAAAGGAGAAAAAGAAGAAAAATGAATTTAAATAAGCGCGCATGCGCGAAAGTAAAGTTCGTATTTTATTTAGGAACTATTAGAACTAATAACAAATATATTATGAACACGTTTTTAATCTTGCGGAAACACCAAACAAGTTCAATTTGTTTGGAACTTTGCTCTGTTGGAAGTTATTTTGTACTGCGCATACTCAATATGTTAGGAACTCGCTTCGGGAACAAACCTATTATTTGTTGAAGCAACACGTTTTCCAGAACTAAGCTTACGGATCAACTCTATTTTCTTCGTTGGAAAGTGGTTTTTAAACTCGAGCCTATTCTTGAATCCTGACAAAACCAGCACAATTTTTTTCAAAACTAATCGTGAGCCAGATACTCCTGATAATATTATATTAAAAATAATCATTAAATGCCGTGTTTGCAGAATTCTAAATGCCTTGGAATCTATCTCGATGAATCATAATATTTTCCTTTTCACTTAAACCCTCTTTCTTAGCATTTAAATAAAATATCCTAGGTATGAATTAAGAATCCTCACCAAAAATGCACCATGGTCAAAACATGTTATTTGTCTAATTTCTACTCGAGAATCACTATATCTAGATACAAAAACGAGCTATCCGTATAATGCAAAAAATGGGGTTTGCTGAATCTTGTAGAACACATTTTATGTCCTAAAATATATTTACAATTCCTGCATTATAAATATTTAAGTACATTCCATATCACAAACTATCTCGTTACGAACGAGGAGCATTGTATTCATGATTCATGAATAAAATTTTAGAACAATCTAACTGTAGACATTAAATCTGGCACATTAAAGCAAATGAAAAAAAACATAATAACTATATAGTCTGTGTAATTTATAACCTTATTCCATCTCCGAGTTCCTAAAGTATCGAAATTACCACGCCTAGTAAATAACATGAAAGCAAATAAATATAATTATATTGTAGGTATTCAAAATTAAAAGAAAAATATATTTAAATATATCTAAAAATAAAATGGGACATCCCGTATAAAGTTTGACCTTGATTTTTGCAGTGAACAAAAACTGGTTTACAATTATTTTGGAATCGAGTAGTCTGTTTTTTAAGTAAAAAACCAATCAAAAAATTGCTTGCTAGAATTAAAAAGATGGTGGCTAATCGTAAGTGTTAAGTGGACGTTCTTAAAGAAACATTTAAAAAACATAGTGAATTATCTTTATACTGCTAGAAATATGAAAAATCCTTTTTCCTGTTCATGGTAAGTTTTTTAGGTATTAGTTTTAGATATTGAAACAAATTATTTGATAAAGGTTTAGCGCTGAATACCTAGATTTGTTTTTGGTATTTCAATTTTTTGTAAATTGACAAGTAATTTTGCTTGCACAAGTTCCTATGGATGGTACCTATGGAAAAATCAATGTATTTATACATTATTCAATTCATTTATTAGTATTTTTTTGCTCTCTATAATAATTATTGATTGCCATAAATTAAAATATTTTGTTTTTTGCTTTCCTATCTGTATACAGATAAGGAAAGTATTATAGGAATTATGATTTTTAATATTGTCAATCTGTCATATAAACATTCCAATTCTTAATAATAAATAACACACTAGCAATTATTAGAATTATTATAATTACCTAAAAGAATATACAGGGTTTTTTAGATTTCGCAATATTTCTGTATTAGCTTTATATATTTCAATAATAAATATATTTATATATGTTTGGTAATGTTAAATAAAACAAGCAAAACGTTTGGTGAACCTAATTTTTTTTTATTTTTGAAAAATTTCGCATTTTTTTGTTAGTTACACCTCTTATAGTCTTAGTTAGCGGTCAATTCGAGTAACCTGTTAAACACAAGGCTGAAAATTTGTACATTTATAGTTTAATACCAGTTGAATAGGGAAATAATAACCTGAAAGGGATACCGTGGTTTGCTTCATCTAGATTTAAATGTATGAACTTGTCAAATAAATTATTAAAATTAACGTGCAAAAACCTTGAGGAAATATTTGAATTATTATATTACCAATATTACAACTGCCAGTTGACAGTTGCCCGATAGGCGAGTACCAATAAAAACTCCCAGGCCAGATATTTTGGTAATAGATATTTTAATTCTGAAAAAGCCAGTTCAAAGAGCGCTAAGAGAGTTCCATTTTAGATATAAATTAATTTTAAATAGGTCAATATGTAGATGGCGCTGCGCTCTATATTTTTTGTTCGATGGGAGGATCTTTC